CACGACAACTGCATTTAGATAAAAAGAGAAGACCATAACCAGAAGTGGTCTTCAAATAGCAAAGCATACAAAGAGCAGCTAGATGATGAGGCTCATAAGGAGCATGCGCGAACTGACTTAAAATATTGACAACAAAGGTTATATGTGGCTGGAAAATGGTTAAATAGATCAAACCCTAACTAATCGTCGATATGAGCTGGGATCTTCCTTCCATGAAGTCACCATCCAAGTTATTAAGTTTACAGTGTTATTCCATGGGAAAGTATGCAAAATGATAGCCTAGTTGACCAGAATCAAAGAGACTGCCCAATAAAAAAGTTGTCGGTAGGAAACCTAGCAACCTCAATCCCAAGAAAATACTTGAGGTCAGCAAGGTCTTTAATCTTGAAGGCCTTTACAAGTGTTGTTTGATGGAATTGATGGCAGATAGGTCATTCCCAGAAACCAAAATGTCAACATAGATAAGGATGATAATAAATACCTTGCTCTAGATTTTGATCACAAGACTATGATCAGCTAAGGATTGGCCAGAACCTGCAAGAGTGAGGACCATAAGATGGTTTCAAGTAACATTGGTGAGGTTTGCTTAAGGCCACATAGAGATTTGTGGATACGACATACACGCATCTCTCCCTTAACAACAATATCTTGATATCTTGGTGGAGTTGCATATATACTTCTTCATCAAGGTCACCATGGACGAAAGCATTGTAAACGTTCAACTGCTGAATAATCTAATGTTTGTCTACAATTGTAGCAAGAAGACAACAAATAATAACAAGTTTAGACACGAGCAAACGTACCGTGATAATCAGGGCTCTCTACAAGAGTAAAATCATTGGCAACTAAACAAACTTTATTGCGTTCAATGGAACCATATGCATGCAATTTTATTTTGTAGATCCATTTACAACCAATAGCCTCTTACCAGGAGAAAGAGTTTCAAGAGTACAAGTATGATTAACCTATACAACTTGTATTTTGGAAGTCATCGCCTCTTGCTAATGAGGCTCAAAGACAGCTCGAGAGTAGATGAAGGACCTTGAACATTTTTGGAGAAGTACGAGAGAAAAGCAAAGTGATTATGACTAAAGAAACAATAAGATATAAAATTGGGTAAAGAATAAACCATACCTGAGAAGGGCTCTGGACAAGGTGGTGAATGTGAGTCCTCCAAAGGTAAGTTTAAGCAAATATAATCCTAAAGATATGTGGGACGATTGACAGTGCAACAAGGTCTTGATAGTGGGGTAGGAATATAATAAGTTCAGGTGAATTGCCAAGAAGGTCATAATCTAGTAGTAAGGGTAAACACTGTAATTTTGTGGGATTTGAAAAGCCTAGGAATATGCATAATGCAGAATGAGAGGAAAATTTGTCTCTGTGAACATTTAAAGTGTGCACATAGCAAAAATATCCAAAAACATGAACGTGATTACAAGTAGGGTTTTCCAGAAAAGAAGGTCAGAAGGGGTTTTGTAATTGAGAGAGGGGAATGGTGAACAATTAATTAAATAAGTAGCAGTAAGTATGCATTTACTCCAAAAGAAAATACGTAAATGTACATGAAAACGAAAACATCAACCCATAATAATAGATGAGAATGCTTTCATTCAATTCACTATTTCGCTGTGATGTCTTAACATAAGTTCGCTCAAGAAGGATGCAATGATCAAGAAAAAAATTTCATGTAAAGGAATTCTCGACCATTATCACAGCGAACATTTTAGATAAAACAATTAAATTGTATGTGCGCCATTTTAATAAAGGCAGCAAGAGGTAAACCCAAATGTATGAGATAAACCCAAATAAAACTTGAGAAATCCACAATTATAATAATGGAATGTGCACCAATTGTAGAGGGCATAGAATATCCACGCCAAATATCGCAATAAATACGATTAAAAATAAAAGTAATTTTATTCTCAATCAATTTAAAAGGAATGCGTATATGTTTGCCTGAGATTCAAATATCATAATGTTTAATGTTATTCAATGTACACAGATTTTGGAATGTAAGAATTTGAAGGATGCCGTAAGCGGAGATGCCATAGATCGGGATTGGGAGTAGGCTTGAGTTTATTGAGAAAAAGGCTTGAGTTTATTGAGGCCTCCACATTCTTCACCCAATCCAATTAGCTTCCACACTTGTTGGTCCTCGAAAAGTCAAAAGAAGGGAGAAAAATTGACGACATAATTGGACATTCTAGTAAGTTGGCTTGCATAAATTAAATTGTATTGAAGCCAGAAACAAAAAGCACATTAGAAACGATAAACAAGGAAAAAGGAGAACTTGTTCTGTATGAGTAACCTAGTCTATGGCACCTGTGGGCAAGTGATTGAGAATGAGGAGATGTGTCTCTGGGCAAGTTGGAAATACAAGAAATATGGGAAAAAGCCCTAGCGTCAATAACCCATTGTATATCGACGGTGATAGATTCAGGATTGTTGTTGAGCTAAGACGATCGTTGACTATCAATTAAGGTTGTTCATTTATATTTAATTAAATAATATTAAATATACTTCAATCAATATATAAATACACTAAAATGTAATTGTGCTAGAAGAACTAGGTAGGGACTTTCATTTCGGTTGAAAAAATCTTTCTATAATTTGTACAAAAATTAAGCATAAATCACCGATTAAATATAAATTAAACTTAATTTTAAACTACGATCAATTTTAAATTTCCAATTTTCAACACCAAATTATCATTTATCACAAATTCACAAATTCTCCAATGTTCATAAATTATAAATCATCATTCATTACAGTTCATATATAAGAGAGCTCACAGACTCACAGTCACCGTGTCACAGACGCCAGCGGCAAACAGTGGCGGTTCAACGGAGGGTTCGACGGAGGCTCACAGTCACTAAAGGTTGACAATCACGGTTGGACCACAGTTGGCTAAGGCGGGACTGTAGGGAGGAGATACAAGAGATAGGGTTTGTTTGCAATTGCCGTATTTTGCATTTGGAATTCAATTGGGGTAACAGTTTTATACGTATAGTCAAACAGACCAGACAAATGTTTAAAATCCTAAAAAAAATGGCCTAAAACTAAAGGCCCATTATTTAAAAAAAAAA